ATATATATCTATCTGAGACCCATTTTATGTAATGACATGCATCACTTCATGGTGTGAAACTATTTTTTGATACATCAGACTACACTAACAATCATCAGTGAAGTTGTTTATATGCAAATTTTAAGTTGAAAAATCACTGGTAGTCAGAGTTCTCCTGACATAAGTGTTCATATTATCAGACATGATCTTTGTTGCTGAGTCGATACAAACATATTTAACAGTTTAAATCATACACACTGTATTGGGAGCCTTGCAGAAGACATTGTATTTGAGGAGTCAGTGATTTTGAACAGGTCATGTCTGCTCTACAGGACTTGAGAAGCCTGTGTCTTATTAACATAATCTATAACTTATAATGTCTTTGGGAAAGGTGAACCATAGACGGATCAAGGAGTAGAATATATTGATCCTGACCAAGAGGCCATCAAATGTTTAAGAGTTAGTGATCCACATAACACTTAAGCTGAATAGGCACAGGCCTGTGCTGTGCTGCACAAATTCCTTGGCTGCGGGATAAACTCAGCCAGCTCACTGTAACAGAGGAGCCTGCAGGCAGCTCCCACTTGGTACAGGTGATTATGTCACCTGCATGGCCTTGCCTGTACCTCAAAGTGCAGCAAGAAGTTCTCATGAGAACATCCTTCAGGAATCGAGTTGTTTTCTTGTGAGGAAATTATATAATACCTCAAACGTCCAAGAAAAGGGAGAGCTTCTCTCCATGGACAGGATCTGCTCTGCACAGCACAATCTGCGAAAATCCATCGGGGCTCCACTGGATGCTGCATGAACATGGGATGCCCAGCATCTGAAGGGCTGTAAGATTTACTATCTGCATTTCTCTTCTTATTCTGTTTTATTAAACAGTTATCTAATTAAGCCATTTTGTTGTTGAGCCTTTCTTACTGAAATCCAGAAAGAATCTGTAACAGGTCTCTTTCACCTCACCTCTCCCCACCCACGTCCCTGGTGTAGAACACATGCCTAGGCCAGCATTTGCACTAAGTTTCTAAGGTATATCTGACCAAAAGCTCATAAGCCACAAGGAAAGTTTCATCCAAAGAGGTTTTGGATGTGTTAATTTGTCATGAATATGTGTGCGT